TTCTACCTCCAGGATGGTCTATCGGTCCCGGCTCCCTCGGGTTCTGTGAGCTCCTGCCAGTGGGTCCAGCCGCCTTGCCCTCTGTCAGCCCCCGATGCTCTTCCCCAGCGACTCTGGCCCCCAAAGCTCTAAGCCAGGGCTTCCTTCCAGTGAGCAGCCTGGCTCTCCTTCATCTGCTGTTGAAGGACTTCTTCTTCTTCTTCTTCTTCTTCTTCTTCGTCTTCGTCTTCGTCTTCTTCTCCACCATGTCCTCCAGTTCACAGTTCAGAAGCGTCCATGCTTACAGCCCCCCTTTCAGGGTCACGTGTTACAAGTGGGAGAACCATGGCCTGGGCAAGAGGTACCCCTGTGGAAGAGTGATGTCTCTGCTCTGCGATAGCTTGTTTAGATCTTCTCCCAAGGAGCAGATGCTGCTTTCTTTCACCATCTGTAGTCTGATTCCGCTTCATCTTCTCCATCTACTTGCACTGAGTTGGCACTGCCTGTTGCAGTCTCTGTCTGTCTATCCATATCTATCAATCATCTGTCTGTCTATCTCTCCTCAGCAGATGGGGAGTGCACTCACTTCTTTCACCTTCCACCAGTTTCCTTAAGTCTTCCTCACTTCCAGCCACCAAAATGGGATCATCAGCGCATCTGAGGGGGTTGATGTTTCTCCCAGCAGTTTTAATTCCAGTTCCTACTTGGAATTTCCAGTCCAGCATTTCTGATAATACATTGTGCACATACAGTACGTTAAATAAATAAGTGGACAAGATGCAACTTTTTCCCTAGTTCTGAACTATTGAGTTGTTCCATATTCCATTTTAACTGTTGCTTCCTGGTCATCACTGAAATTCTTCAACAGCCAACACTTCAGGGAAGACGTTGCGAAATCTGGGCTTTCTTGCCAAGTGCTATTTTCTGGGACGCCCAAGGAGGAAAGGCTAGTGTCCCCCCAGTCCTTCAGGGCCCCTTGGGGTGCAGGAATCCTGCTTGGGGCAGGTTCTCTCCCCTCCCTCCCTGGAGGGTTGCAAGCTTTGAAACCACGTTCGAGGAAGGGAGCCGGAGGAGAGCAGATGTGCTGGGGAGGTAGGGGCGGGAGAAGAGAAAACACGGCTGCAGCCAAGAACGCAGGCCAGGCAAGATGTTTCACAGAAGGGCCAAGGCCCCAATGTTTTTCGGTTTCCCTCGCAAGCTCTCCCTTCCCCAAAGTTAATTCCACATTGGCTGCAGAATTTCTGCAAACCATGAAATTCCTCACAGTTGATGTGCAGGTCAAACATCTGTACAACATCTTGCCTTACTTCACCTCTGACTTTCTCCATCCTCATCCCTGGAGCAGCACTTTTTTTTCCAACCCACCCACCCCCAATTTGGGGGGACTCTGGGGGCGGAGACATGTGAGCTGAATCAAACAACCTTGCCTTCTTTAATTTCTCCACTGTCACCAGCTCTCTCTTTCCTCCTTGCCTTTTTTGGCTTTTCAGGGTGAACCAGGATCAAACCCTGCTCTGGGTCCGGAGAGGGTCTTTGCCCTCATTTCTGCACAGTCTTGCCTCCCACTTTTCTTCGGCATCTACAGCTGCGCAATGCAACGGGTTAACGTGTCTTGACCTGCCAGAGCTCTGTGGCATTACCCAGATTATATTTTCTGTTTCCCGCAAGCCTCAGTTAATACTTCTGCTTGGGGCACACATTTAAGTAAGAGAAGCGGCCTCGGTATTCGAGGGAGCGACGCCAGGAACTGGATGGCTTCGCTACCATCCTCCCTGGGGCTGCATGGCAGCAAGATCTGGGCATTCAGAATCTCCCTGTGCCTTGGTTCAGGTCTGACCCATGCGGAGTAGAAATAAGAAGTGAATATCCTGATCCCATGCACTGACCACCCTTGAACAGGCTGCATGGCTGCCAACTGTCTGTGGGGGCGGGGGGGTGACCCTGCACCTTCTCGCAGAGGTCAGCTTATCAATCTTCTTGGTCTGCAAAGGGGCCAAGCAGCTGTTGAAGATGAAGGACCCAGAACTAGTTGCAAATCTCTCCTTGCCAGACTGCCTCGGGACTAACCAGAGGCCATGCTCCTATACGTAGAACCTACAGGACTCCCTGCCACAAGATCGTCTGGATGGCTTTGCAAAAGTTGACGTGCAGGGTCTATAAGCCGTTATGAGCCGTGGGGTGTAAGCGGGACCCTCAAGTAAAGAAGCAGTCTACCTCTGAACGTCGTGATCTAGCTGTCCACCGCTAGAAAGAGGATGCTGGTTTAGGCTAGCCTTGTTTGCAATCCCCCAAGGTCATTCCTACGCTTCTTATTGGCCATCCGAGCTAAACAAAGGCTCCGGGAGGGGCTTTGCAGAGTTCAGGGCCGCCTCATTCCTACAGCCGAGAGCCTTTGAGAGGCGTCAGGTTTACGCTCCAGAGTTTTAGGACAGAGAAGGAGACCATCTTGACGGAAATACCTCTTTCCTTTCATTCACCAAGATGATCCAGGGGCTGAAGCAGCTTCCCTAGGAGGAAAGTCTGTGACATTTGGGCTTTCTAGTCTAGAAAGGAGGTGGACGAAATCGACATGATCGAGGTGCACCAAATTACGCCCTGCGTGGATAAAGTGGTCAAGGAGAAGCTACTTTCCCCTTCCCAAAATACTAGAACCAGAGGTCACGCAATGAAACTGAACCCTGGAAGAATCAGGACAGGCAAAGGGAACTATTTAAGTAATCCAGTGTTGGAATTTGGTAGCGCAGGATGGGGTGCTGGCTACCAGCTTGGCTGGCTTCAGAAAAGGGTTGGACCGACTCATGGAAGTTGTGGGGATCCAGGGCTCTTAGCCTTGCTGGCGGTGGGGCTGCCTCCGAAGGCCATCCACTGGGAGACCGGTGGGCTTCCTTGGGCAGTTGGCTGGCCCCTGGGAGAACGGACAGCTGGACTAGAAGGGTCTGATCCAGAAGGGCACCGCTTACGTCCATTCAATTTAACTTAAATTAATGAACTGCAACGAATATGATTCCTCTGCATGTTCCCCTTTAACCATATTAAAAATACGAGCGCACCACAAACTGCCTGGAGTCCACAAGGACTGAGGCGGTAGATACATTCTATGCACAAATAAATTAAACAAACAAACAAACAAACAAATAAATAAAATTAACTCTCCGGATCTGCATCATGGATGGCAAGAAGCCTGGTAGCTGTTGCTCAAAACTTAAAAGTGGCCAGAATTCTGCCTTTTTCTGCAAATCCGTTTCCCTCTTCCTCTACCAGCAAACTGTGAGAAACTTACTCTTACTTACTCCAACTTACTCTTGGGGCAAGATCCAGGCCTGCCACAGATCAGATCCAGGACGGGAAGATGTTCTGGCCCGAACAGTAGAAAACCTTCCACAAGCACCCCTTAAACAAGAATACGCTGGCCCAGCGATGCTGCACGCTTTTGAGTTAACTTCTGAGTTAACACCTGCTTCTCCCTCTCTCTCTGTCTCTCACACGCACACACGCACATCTTCTCCTGCTCTTCCAAGACCGTCTCCCGGATCCCAGCCAGCTTCTCTTCACCCCTCCCCCCCCCCCCCCCCGCAGGATAAAACCTGCACCTGTGGGACATGGATCTGTTGTGCAAATAGGGAGGAGGCAGCGGGGGTGGCCGTTCCTCCTCTCAGGCGGCTTTCCGGGGCGACTCACCGCCTGGACAGCCCTTCACGAAGGCCCGCGGAGAGGGCTCTTCTTCGCCAGGCAAAGCCGGACGCCCCGGCGGGG